GAGCCACAGTGACTGGCAGAGCAGTCCAAAAGTTGGGGTAGATCTCCAATAGATCTTTATCATGATCCATACTATTTTAGAATTGCCCCTGAAATTGTAATTTAAACTGACATAAAAACTGTAGACTACCAAAAATGCCAACTTCTACAGAACAAATCATGTAAAAAATAATCAGTGCAGCCATCAGCAATAAATAAACAGGATAGTTAGTGGTGACTGGGGTGTTTTCTTCTGCTTGTAGAGTTGTTTTATTTATTATTATGTGAACATGATCAACATGTGTTTGTTGTTGTTCAGGCAGGCCACGGGCTGCAGTGAGCATTTCACAAATCCTAGTTTGAATCAGTGAAAAACGATTCAAGGATTTTTTTAACCATTTGAATATTCGTTTCAATATTTCAGCCCCATTAGCTCTGTTAGCAATTAGTTGACCGAATGTAACCGTTAAAATCCCAGTTAACTGGTTCAAAAAATTGAAAACATGCATCATGAGAGTGTTCATATATTTATCTTTCTCCTCTTTTTTTCATTTTTTTTTCCTGAATGGGGCACCTGGTGGTTTTAGCTTTTTTATATTCATCTCTTCTGTTTGGCTCTTGACTCAATAAGTTTCCTTTAGTCAGGACTAAACAAATTGACCTTGGTGGGTGGGTGACCACAAAATCGTTTTGTTTTTCCTTTTTTTATTCGGCCATTTCACACAATTCAGAAAAACCTGAAAGAATGTTAGGCCTGTGTTTATGATATTATGAATGAAATGTGCGTTAAATGGAAGAACATCAAGATGTGATTGACTTTAGCCATGTTAATACAATTGATTCAGCCCCTACCCGCTCATTTCATTTGGGAAAGACCCAGAGGTGAATTCCCCCACCGAATTCCCCCCCCCCCCCCCCCCCCTTCTTCATACGCACGGTGCACAAGAACGTTCTCGGTCAGCAGGAGCGCCTGTAGCTGCAGGGGATGCCAACTTGCTGTTTCCAATCCAGACACTGTGATATGACAGATAATAGAAAACCTCGGTGCGGCGCAGATTTCTTTCTTTTTTATTTTTTACTCAGCGCTTGAACGCCTCTTTTGTGTCATGAAAAAATGCCGCCCCGGGCAACTGTCCTGTCTGCCCGTGCCTAAAACCGCTACTGCCGTACGGGCTGGTTCGGATAACTTATTTGGTTTCATATCTGTGTCATATGTGTTTTTTTGGTTCTAAGGTGACTCTTTTTTTAGACCTCTTCCTCGGTGGCCGTAAGCAAGCTTTATAAATGAGACCCCTGACCTGCAGTGGAATGTTTACTGTGTGAAGTGCCCTGAGACGACTCTTGTTGTCATTCTGCGCTATATAAATAAACTTGAATTGAATTGAAAAACACAGTTTCTAAATGCGCCCTTTTCAAAATCGGCTTTAGGCAAGCCAAGCACAGAAATTGAAAGAAACACGCTCTTATAACAGCATTGCTCTAAGGGACCATTGTAAATCCTGCAACCAGTTTCACACCGAGGCTCAAGATACACCCTTTTAGTTCCAGACCTGGAATGGCTGGGGTCACGGAGGAGCTCAGCAGATTCTTAGGGTGAAAAAGAATGGCCTCAGTCTTTGTCTCATTAAGTCTAACAAACCTGGCTGCCAACCACCCCTCTACATCGGAGAGACAGTCCTCAAAGTAACAAGGCCTTATTTTGTCCATTCATCGCCAAATATATCTGACAGTCATCTGTGTTAATATGGTAGCCTATTCCATACCTATTGAAAATTCCCAAAGGAAGAAGATAGATGGAAAACAGAAGGGGCCCCAGGACCGAACCCTATGGCACCCCCCAGGTCAACGGAAGGCAGGGAGAGGCACAGTCACCAATCTGTACACAAAAGGATCTGCTTGCCAGATTGGAGTGGAACCAACACAGAGCAGGACCCGACAGACCGACCCAGTGTTATAGACAGTCTAGCAGGATTTGATGATTGACAGTATGAAAAGCTGCTGAGAGATCTAACAGCATCAACAGCACATGGGACCCTGAATCAGATGCAACAAAAATGTCATTCAACACATGAATCAAAGCGGACTCAGTGCTGTGGTGTGGTCTGGATGCAGATTGGAACGTGTCCAACAGTGTATTTTCTTCCATATAGGTCGTAATCGGTGAGTAAACAGCTTTCTCCAGGACCTTTGACAAGAATGGAACTTTCAAAATTGGGCGTAGGTTAAATGGCCTGTATTTGAATAGGTTATCAAAACCTGAGCCTGGCTTCTTCAAAATGGGTTGAACAACCACTTTTTTGAAAGCCATCGGAAAAGCACCAGACACAAGACTAGTGTTAACCCTCTGAAGGCAGGCCTTGCAGATTTGTACGTTCAAACCTACCTACCTGGTTACTCCACATACGTGTTTCATGAGCATTTTTTAACTCAGAAGTACCCCTGAAGGAATTAGTTGTCCGTCATTTTATCAAAACTTATTTTGAGCCTGAGAGGGTTAATGATGTTTAGAATGACAGAACCGAGGACATTAACAAGTTCACACAACAACTTCAGTGGCAAAGAGTCCTCTGGAGAGCACGCTGGATTCACAGATCTAATCAATTTCTCAATGACGTGAATCGGTGCTCGGTCGGTACCTTAAAAAGTATCGAATTCGGTACCCAGTGTTTCTGTTAGCGTTTGCTGCCTGGAAGAAGCACTAGCCGCTGCTGCCGCAGGCTTTTTAGCTTTAGCTGCCAGCTGGCTCTCATTGTATTGATTCACAGATCTGATCAATTTCTCAAGGTCATGCAGATGAACTGGGGCAAAACAGGAAAAATTGGTTACCAATGTTGGCTCCACAGTGCAGGCTTGCCCTGAAGGTATAAGGCTGAGTCTAATACCACTGATCTTGTTTAGAAAGTAATTCTGGAGCTCAGAACACAGAGTAACTGTGGGAGACAAACCATCCGATGTCGGCAGCATCAGTATTGAGTTTATGGTGCTGTACAATCTTGACTGATCTCCACGGTGTTGCAATACAATGTCGGAGAAATATTTGTGTCGAGCAGATCTGACTGCCCTCTGATACCGTGCAAGCATCTCTGTGAAGAGCTGTTTTGAGATAGTCAGCCTGTCCTTTTTTCACCTATGTCCCATGACCCTGCACTTTTCAATTAGTTAGTTAATCATTAAATATTAAAAATGAGATTTTGTGTATTGAGAGGGAATAACATTGTGACAAAAAATAACCCCATTAAGACCATTTTAAACCTCTACATTACAGCTACAACCGCGGCACTACTGGCCGCAGTTCATGATCAACAGTTAACGTTTTTTTAAGTTTATTAATTTGGTTTTATATGTAAATAAAATTAATAACACTCACCCAAGTTGCTGATTATTTACACAAACACCATCCTCCTTTCTACACAGGAAGACTTCATTAACTTTGTCATACAGCTGTCTCTGAGACAAAATAAAGTGACGGGTTATGCTGCCTCTCGTAATAATGATCAGCTTCGCTGAAAAAGTTCCTCTTGAAAAGGGAACTGAAATAATCCCTGAGTCCAAATCAATTTCTTCTTCTCTGTTGGACATCCACTTGCTATCTGTTGACAAGTGATGATGATTTTGGTGGATGGCTGATGATGAATTTTAGCCATAATACACCTGGTGACAATTATGGAGATCCACTTGTAGCCTAAATGTGCAGGTCATAAAGCCATATGAGAGTGAAAATAAAGCCAGTCATGCAGCTCAAAATGTTTTCAATATTTTACCCATTACTACATGACTAGTCAGTCAGTCTTGTAAAGTTAGCAACCGTGACTCCATCCTGACTGGGGCAACCTATATAAACCCTGAATAAATCTGCATGAGAGTAATTATTAAGAATGGAGCTCATTCTCCTATGAACACAAGTTATGGAAGTGTTTGTCTTATCTTACTCTAAGTTCTTGTCTTATCAAGCGCCCATCCTTTGTGTTTGAGCCCCCCAACCCCCCGAAGCTCCGCCAATGCCAATGCACATGGATTGTAGAGGTTGGCTTCCATTTTCAAGTACTTTATTTTGTATCATGTTACTCTTAATTGCATTAGCTAAGTTTGGACCTATGATTGCAAAGTATGAGTTGAATTCGGACACTATTTCCATTTTATCTGTCATAGTATTGTTTTCGGTATCGAAGTAATCCGGGTACCAAATGTGAGTTTGGTCTTATCATACTATTTGGTTCTCCAAACACTTTTCATGTCTCTGTCGTTCTCTTGTAACTTTAGATTATAGTAATCTGACTTTGCTTGTCTCAATAACTTTACTAACTTGTTTTTTATACCTCTTGTATTTCATTTCTGTTGTTTTTGATTTTGGATCAGATAGTCCTTGTAAAGTTTATTTTTCTTTTTACATGATTTTACCGTAACAGCCCTTTTATCAGCCAGGGTTTGTTATTACTTTTGTTGTCTTTTTTATTGTGATCAGGGGTCAATTTCCATCATAAAGCATGTTGTTCTACTTCTTTTCATCTTATTTTGTACAAATTCCTCTTTTGTTCTATTTAGGTGATGGCTCTGTTTTATCATGAATACAGGTAAGTGATCGGTTATATCGTTTGTCAAGAGACCACAGTATTTAGTGTTTTCAATATTGTTAGTAAAAATGTTATCTATTAGTGTTGCGCGGCTATTCTGGATGGGTGTATGATGACTGGATGCAGGTTTCTACCCTACATTGTTTCGATAAAGTCTGTTGTCAATCATTTTGTGTTTTTTGTGGTTTAGAAGATTGATGTTAACTCAGAAATCATTGATAAATGCCCCAGCTTGGATATCTTACTACATTTGTGTTTCATTAAAACAGCAAAAGCTACTATTGATTTTTGATAGCCCCAAAACCCAATTGATAAAAAAACACATCAAAAACATTAAGCTTAGTCTTTAGTTGGTCCAGTGCCACTAATCAATGCCATTCTACATCCAAAAGGGAAAAATTCTAAATCAAAGCTGTCGCTATAGCAACGTCCCAGCCAGATTCCACCAATCAATGGGGTCCATGGGGTTGTGAGATGTGCCAGAGAAAGGCCAGCATCCTACATAATGAGCCAGGACAGATAGCTGGTAGCACACCAAGAGAAGAGAAGAGAAGAGAAGAGAAGAGAAGAGAAGAGAAGAGAAGAGAAGAGAAGAGAAGAGACGGAGAGAAACACTGAGAAAAGATGATGTGCTCATGTGAACAAGAGATCCTTTGCTGGTTCTATTTTGGCACCTTGCTCTTCTCTATCTACTTCCACTCTGTTACAGTCATCGGAGGTAAGATAAATTCTATCGGTGCTTTAAGCTTTTGGGGGGGGGGGGGGGGGGCACAGCTTGAATGTGTGGCTTGTGCCAGCTTCGAGGCAAATTGATGGTTGGTTATTCAGCATGTTCTCATGTGTTCATTTGGGCTCAGCAACTAGCAAATTCGCTTGTTACCTGATTTTCTTCCATCTCAATGCTATACACTTTCCGTACACTTTTAGGGAAGTGTGCTGATTTTGACTAAAAGGTTTTAATAAACTTGTTAGTTTAATCTGTATGTAAAGGCTCATCAAAACCAACAGTTTTAGGAATATGTTTAACTGTTTTTGTACATTCTCCTTAATGTTTTCAGCCATTCTCATCATAAGTGGAGACTCTGTTCACTCAATGACGACTTTGAAGCGGGAAGTTCTAGTTGTTGTGAAGACTAATGCCCCCCCCCCCCCCCCCCCCCCCCCCCCCGCCTTCGTGTCTGCTTAACCCACTAGTACCAAGCCAGCAGGCATGCTGATGTTTAGGCATGGTAGAATAGAAAAAGCAAATTTTCCTGTTGAGTCTTTTATGTGGGATTCTCCAGAATGTGCCTCCCTTACTAATTTTTATGTGGGGCCATAGCCATTTGGAGTAGTGCCGCAAACTCAGGGTTCTTTGTTTCTGTGCACCTGGACTCTGAGGTTTTCTGAGTCTGGCACCTGGTTCTTGCTCTCCTTTTTTCTATTATTTTAGAGCAACATAAGGAAAGGATGTCGTCGTCGTCGTCGTCGTCTTCCTCCGCTTATCCGGGTCCGGGTCGCGGGGGCAGCATCCCAACTAGGGAGCTCCAGGCCGTCCTCTCCCCGGCCTTGTCCACCAGCTCCTCCGGCAGGACCCCAAGGCGTTCCCGGACCAGATTGGAGATGTAACCTCTCCAACGTGTCCTGGGTCGACCCGGGGGCCTTCTGCCGGCAGGACATGCCCGAAACACCTCCCCGGGGAGGCGTCCAGGAGGCATCCTGACCAGATGCCCAAACCACCTCAACTGGCTCCTTTCGATCTGGAGGAGCAGCGGATCTACTCCGAGTCCCTCCCGAATGTCCGAGCTCCTCACCCTATCTCTAAGGCTGAGCCCGGCCACCCTACGGAGGAAACTCATTTCGGCCGCTTGTATCCGCGATCTCGTTCTTTCGGTCATTACCCAAAGCTCATGACCATAGGTGAGGATTGGGACGTAGATCGACCGGTAAAATCGAGAGCCTGGCTTTCTGGCTCAGCTCCCTCTTCCCCACGACAGATCGGCTCAGCGTCCGCATCACTGCAGACGCCGAACCAATCCGCCTGTCGATCTCCCGATCCCTCCTACCCTCACTCGTGAACAAGACCCCGAGATACTTAAACTCCTCCACTTGAGGTAGGACCTCTCCCCCGACCCGGAGGTGGCAAGCCACCCTTTTCCGGTCGAGAACCATGGTCTCAGATTTGGAGGTGCTGATCCTCATCCCAGCCGCTTCACATTCGGCCGCGAACCTACCCAGCAAGAGCTGAAGGTCAGAGCTGGATGAAGCTAGGAGGACCACATCATCCGCAAAAAGCAGAGACGAGATTCTCCTGCCACCAAACTCGACACACTCCACACCACGGCTGCGTCTAGAAATTCTGTCCATAAAAGTGATGAACAGAACCGGTGACAAAGGGCAGCCCTGGCGGAGTCCAACCCTCACTGGGAACAGGTCCGACTTACTACCGGCTATGCGGACCAAACTCACGCTCCTCTGGTAAAGGGACTGAATGGCCCTTAACAGAAAGCCACCCACCCCATACTCCTGGAGCGTCCCCCACAGGGTGCCCCTGGGGACACGGTCATAAGCCTTCTCCAAATCCACAAAGCACATGTGGATTGGTTGGGCAAACTCCCATGCCCCCTCCATCACCCTTGCAAGGGTATAGAGCTGGTCCACAGTTCCACGGCCAGGACGAAAACCACATTGCTCCTCCTCTATCTGAGATTCAACTATCGATCGGACCCTCCTCTCCAGTACCTTGGAGTAGACCTTTCCAGGGAGGCTGAGGAGTGTGATCCCCCTATAGTTGGAACACACCCTCAGGTCACCCTTCTTAAAGATGGGGACCACCACCCCGGTCTGCCACTCCCTAGGAACTGCCCCCGATGACCACGCAATGTTGTAGAGACGTGTCAACCATGACAGCCCTACAACATCCATAGCCTTGAGATACCCAGGACGAACCTCATCCGCCCCCGGGGCTCCGCCGCTGTGTAGTTGTTTGACTACCTCAGCAACTTCTGCCCCCGAGATCGGACAGTCCATCCCCAGGCCTCCCAGCTCTGGTTCCTCCTCGGAATGCGCATTGGTGGGATTGAGGAGCTCCTCAAAGTATTCCTTCCACCGTCCGACTATAGCCTCAGTTGACGTCAGCAGCTCCCCATCCCCACTGTAAACAGTGTGAGCGAGTTGCTGCCTTCCTCTCCTGAGGTGCCGGACAGTTTGCCAGAACCTCTTTGGAGCCGATCGATAGTCTTTCTCCATGGCCTCACCAAACTCCTCCCACGCCCGAGATTTTGCCTCGGCAACTGCCACTGCTGCACCCCGCTTGGCTATCCGGTACCTGTCTGCTGCCTCCGGAGACCCACAGACCAGCCACGCCCTGTAGGCCTCCTTCTTCAGCCTGACGGCTCCCCGAACCTCTGGTGTCCGACAGCGGGTACGGGGGTTGCCCCCACGACTGGCACCGGCCACCTTACGACCACAGCTAGCAACAGCCGCCTCGACAATCATAGAGTGGAACAAGGCCCACTCGGACTCAATGTCCCCCACTGCTCTCGGGACGTGGTCAAAGCTCTGCCGGAGGTGGGAGTTGAAGACCGTCTTGACAGGTTCTTCTGCCAGGCGTTCCCAGCAGACCCTCACTATGCGTTTGGGTCTGCCAGGTCTACGCGGCATGTTCCCTTGCCATCTGATCCAACTCACCACCAGGTGGTGATCAGTTGACAGCTCCGCCCCTCTCTTCACTCGGGTGTCCAAAACATACGGCCGCAGGTCAGATGATACGACTACAAAATCTATCATCGACCTGTGACCTAGGCTGCCCTGGTACCAAGTGTACCGGTGGGCATCCTTATGTTCGAACATGGTGTTCGTTATGGCCAAACTGCGGCTTGCACAGAAGTCCAATAACGAAACACCGCTCGAGTTCAGATCAGGTGGGCCGTTCCTCCCAATCACACCCCTCCAGGTCAAGCTGTCATTGCCCACGTGAGCATTGAAGTCCCCCAGCAGGACAATGGAGTCCCCTGATGGAGCACTATCTAGCACTCGTCCCAGGGACTCCAAAAAGGGTGGGTACTCTGAACTGATATTTGGCCCATAAGTACAAACAACAGTCAGGACCCGTTCCCCGACCCGAAGGCGCAAGGAAGCTACCCTCTTGTCCCCCGGGGTAAACCCCAACACACAGGCAGAGAGTCTCGGGGCTAACAAAAAGCCAACCCCAGCCCTCCACCTCTCACCCGGAGCAACTCCAGCAAAGTAGAGTGTCCAACCCCTCTCCAGGTCTCGGGTTCCAGAGCCAATGCAATGTGTCGAGGTGAGTCCGACTATATCTAGCCGGTACCGCTCAACCTCTGCCACAAGCTCCGGCTCCTTCCCCGCCAGCGAGGTGACGTTCCATGTCCCAAAAACTAGTTTTCTTGTCCGGGGATTGGACCGCCATGGCTCCCGCCTTGGTCTGCCACCCGATTTGCATTGCACCGGACCCTTCATGTTCCTCCTGCGGGTGGTGGGTCCACAGTTGGGGGGGGGGAAGGATGTGCAATTCAGAATTATTTTCTGGCACACTCATTTCAGCTGTGGTTTAGCTGTGCTTTTCCAGATCCTGGCGTGTCAAATATGATAAAGAGTTACAGAGACATGTGAATAATGCTGTGCAATCTATCCATTTTTGAGTCTGTAAATTAAGTATTCTTCTCCTATAAGTGCTTTGCAAAAGTTTGAAGCAGTTTAATTACATTCTGCAAATGCTACATCCACATAGAGGTTGTTATGTTTGTGTTTCTGACAAGTTCTCTTTTACACGTTTTTTCATGCAGCTCCACTTAAGCAGGATGTATTGGATAGCGGGTCTACTGTGCTCAATCACTCCATGAGTTTGGTGCATCGGATGGAGACCCTCCTGGCCATTGGCAACAGCAGTGATGTTAGTCTGCGGGTGCAAACCATCAACACAGATGAGATGAAGGTGATCCAAGCCCACAGCTTGGTTCTCAGCCTGCAGAGTGATGTGTTTGAGGAACTGCTGCTCAGCCGCAACAGCAGTGCTCTGGTTTTGACAGAGTCACCAGACTGTGCAGCAGTCTTTGCCAAATTTATCAGGTGAGAGGCATCGTAGGATCTAAATTTCAGTTTGGCGTTGATTTATGAAACGAAACAACCCTGACATCGTAAAAAAAACAAGTGGAGCTGGTTTTAGATAGTTACTTGTCTAACAAATGAATATTGTTGCTATTCACTCAGCATCTTGGACTTTTCTCTTCTATTCCAAGTGGTGCAGTGTTCCATCATGTAAAGTACTCTAAAATTACACTCGATGTTCGGAGCTTACAGTCTACAGGCAGAAAGTGTGGGTTTTGTGCAGTGACTCAGCTGTGACTTAAAAAAAAGCTCAAATGAAGTTTGCCGAACAATTGTTATCTTTTTATTGTTGCTTTTGTCTTTTCTAGGTATTTGTACTGTGGTGACATCTCAGTACGGCTAGATCAGGCTAAATCGCTACACATACTGGCCAGCAAGTACCATGTGTGGGGTTTGCAGCAAGGTCTGACCCAATATATGACTCAGCATCTGTCCAGTGATTCACCCACAGGCCATGTGGTTAGCTGGTACAGCTACGCACTACAAATTGGAGACAATACCTTGCGGGACAGCTGTCTGCAGTTTCTGTCCTGGAATCTGTCCTCTGTGCTGCAGAGTGGAGAATGGATCTCCATCAGCGAAAACCTGCTCCTGTCCTTGCTCCAGCGCTCTGACCTTATTCTGCAGAGTGAATTAGAGCTCTATGAGGCTCTGGAGGGCTGGATTGGCCAGAACCAGCCAGACAGCACAACAGTGGAAAGTGCACTGAGGGCTGTCAGATATGGCATGATCCCTCCACAGCATCTCTTCCGCCTTCAGAAGCAGTCAGCCCTCATGGTAAAGTATTATGAGTCAATCAGTGATCTCCTCTATCTAGCCTTCCAGTTTCACTCTGCCTCACCTATTCAACTGGCCAAGTACTTTGATGTCAACTGTAGTATTTTCACTCCCCGTAACTATCTATCCTCCTCCTGGGGTTCTCCGTGGCTCATCAGTAACCCCACACGAGATGACCGCAGTTTCAGTTTCCAAACCCAGCTTGGCCCCAGTGGCCATGACTCGGGGAAGAGAGTGACGTGGAATGCCTTGTTCTCCCCTCGCTGGCTCCCTCTCAGTGGTAGGTCAACTTACACTGAACTTGGTGCCATGCAGCCCTCTCGCACTGATGGGGGTCGACCTCGCATCATTGTAACCCCAGCCACCTCTAGCCCAGACTTTGCTGGTGTAAGTTTTCAGAAAACAGTGATTGTGATGGCAAAACAGCAGGGAAAAGTGGTTGTTCACGATGTCTACAACTTCCACCAAAGTACGGAGGAAGCTGGGGATTTCCTGAAGGATGCTGACCTGCAGCGCCGGACATCAGAGTACCTAATTGACAGCTCCCTTTCTCTGCACATTGTAATCAAACCTCTCTACCACACCCTTCTAGTTGCCAGAAAGTAAAAGCTGTAACTTCACCTTCAGTTTTTCACTAGCGATGTGCGTTCAGAAGAAGCAGGGGAACCACTGCCTCTTCTGCCATTAATACTAATAAATATTTATAATGACCACTGTCCAATGGCCACCGACTGGCCTACACATTAGTCTTCTGCATGATTTCAACATGTTTGTTGTCAAAATTACTGAATTTAAACATTTACTGTTCCAGTACATGGCAGAAGCACGTGGGGAGACAAAGACAAGTGCTGCCTCTGCTCTGACGGAGCTGCACGGCACACACTAACTGATGATGGTGGAGCACCCCATACACTGATACAGGAAATTTGATGCATGTCCACTGTTGCCTCGCTCTATATTGCAAATATACGTGTTATATTCCACATGTGCTGCACATGCTGGTGTTCCACAGTCTGTCTAATATATTTTGTGACTGAGTGTGACATATTTAGTATTTCTGAACAGCCATAGGTACGCAGAAAAAATGTGCCCGGGGAGGCAGAAAGTACCCTGCCTCACTGATAGGAGCAGTGCTGAGCCTATAGACACAGATGGGCACTACCTGCTTCTCTACACACATGGCGAGTGTGACGCTCACAGGTCTTTGACAGTGAGCTGATTTATAATTGCTCTGACAAAATGGAAGATTATGGCTCACAACTGAAGTATATATTTAAACAGGATTTTCAGTTAAAGAGGAGATGTTAGTGGATTATTTTTGCAGAAGATTATTTTAGAGAAGTTAGGTGCAGAGACTTCATACACATAAAGGAAAAATCATACACAATTTTCAAGTGTATTACAAGAGAGCTCTGCCAGTACATTTTTAAATTACATTTCCAATTAAAATACATTTTTTAAATTCTAATTTGCCCTAACTTTAATCTGTTTTGTTAATGCTAGTGCATTGCTAAATATTATAGAATTGATTAATGCATAATTAAGAAGTTTTAAAGCAACTGATTATTTCACTACGGGTCAAAATTAAGAATAGCTTCTATTTTGGGATCATATATTTGCATGTCTAACTCCAGAGTAGTCAGTAGCTCTGTGATTAATGCATCACTGTCATTCACCCACTCATATCTCAGCACATGTCAGGTCTGTGACGCTCATTATTTTATACAAATTTACTCTTCCAGCAGTTTAGTATGGAAGAATCTGTGAAAATAAATGATTCTGAGGTTATCATAGTATTGATGGTGGGTTTTTTCTTCAGTAGTTTGTGTGCTAAGAAACAAACAAACAAACAAAAAACGTGTTGATTTATTTATTGCGTAATAACTTTCCTTGAACTTTAATAATCTATGTAAGGTTTAATTGTGTTTGAATATTTGTGCTAAAAGTGTTTCACGTTTAAGACAAACATTTGTTGCTATTACTCTTTCCTCTTCACAGCAAAACAGACTTTGTAGTTTATGTAGTTTGTAGATTACTCTATAATCTTCCATTTAAATAATGGATTTGTAAACATGTCAAACATTTTTTTCTACCCTGGGAAATAGCCTAGTGCAACATCCACATTTCAAGCTGCAATTTTATTGCTTTCTTTCCATATGATATTTTATTTGCTTTTGCAATTGCATTTTATGTTATTTTTAAGTTTGTATAATACTGAAACAAAGATGTAAAAATAAAGCATTATAAAAAGAATACTATTGTTGACTTATCAAATGTTAGATATGCAGTATGAAAGAAGGAAGAAACAAAAATATATGATTTATTATTAAAAATCATCTTCTTTGCTGATGGAGAAAGTTGTTTTCAAATCTTTACACGAGTACAATTTACAAAACACAAAACCAATTTAAACTGGAGTCAGATATAGATTTTGTTCTCCCATCAAAACGAATCTGCCTTCAGACAAAAAACCACAACATGTGGTCTGGTTTTCAGATATAAATATTTTGTGGACAAAGTGTTGTCAAAAATAATCAGATCACGTTGCTTGTCCTCCAAAATCAGCACGTTTAGTACTGGTGCTTGATATCCAGATACGAAAATGAATCTAAAACAAATTGATGAGCTATTTTTCTTCCATTCAAAGACCAACCAAAATCAAAAGGATTTGTTTAAGTTGACAGAGAAAGTTCTGGTACTACACTTCCCACGAGCCTTACCGCTTGACAGGAAGTACGTCAACACGTCGACGACGCTTCAGCTGTCAGACTTTGGCCACCCAAGAGGGTTTTGTTAGCAAACTAAAACGCGAACTGTTCGGCACTACTTCAAAGTTGTGCATCCTTTTGTTAATCGAGCTTTGAGCGCGTTAGCTACTTATTGGCACACTAACCTTGCAGGAGGCGCCCTGTTGTTTTAATCGCTGTTAGATGTTGCTCTGCAGAGATCCTGAGCGGGTGTGAGAATAAAGGCAGCTAGGGAGGGAGTAAAAAAGGCAAAAGTCTTTGTGCTTCCCTTCCCCCTCATCAAAGCAAAAAGGGAAATGTCTGGCCCTAGAGCGGGTAAGTGTCTTTATTTTTTACTATTGTAAAGCCATCCTAAATACTTTGAACTAGCGAGGTGCAACACGGGAGAAAATAGGCGAGCTAGCTTAGTGTGAGAAACGTAACCTTGCCCGGGGGAAACGTGCATGTTTTAAGAAGGAAACGAAGCTACCCAGCATGCGTTTCCTGATCAGTACACAAAGTGTCCAAACAACCTGATTATCGGGCGTAATTCGTTAATTACGCGTATGTTGTTCTAATGGTTAGTTTGAAGTGCTTTTAGATGAGCGGTGGGGTGTGCTTGCACCACTTCGCCGAGGTTAGCTTAGTCCGTTCCCACAGCAGTTAAAGCTTTTTGCCGAACTAATTTGAGCCAACTTGTTCCTCAGACAAGACTTGAGTTACTACCCCTATACACTGCTGTTTGAAGGCTTACCCCAGAGTCGTTAACTGTACTACATTTTCCACGTTGGATTTCATATATTTTTTAAATATTTTCAGAGTTACAGCAACACCACTAAAACAGTGTTAGTTACCATGTTACTTTGTTACATGCACATTTCTAAAGAAGTCAAAGAAAAAGGAAATGAAAACAACACTTCTTGGAAAATCAACGTTTCTTCCACTGCGTCACACTCCATGATTATGATGATGTCAATTTACATTTCAAGTTCACCGCTTGTGATGTTACACAATCATACTAGCGTTACCATGGTCAGGAGGACTCGCTGCTTTCAAAGAGCTGGGCAGGCACCGGCAGCCTTTGGCCTACCGTGGCATGTTTTGACATGCAGCTCGAATGCCGACAGCTGCCTCTCTTTGTTGACGGGTTTTTGGCTGCCACACAGGTTCTGCTGCTGTTATAACAAAGCATGTTTTAATGAATTTTCCGGAGTGTTTGTCTTCATTTGTCTCTGTCTACATGTGATCATAGCATTGCTGCAGCATTTTAGAAGATTGGGTTATGCCTAACAGCTCTGATGAGATGGCGTGGAAGATTATCTTCATGAGTGCCTTGCCTGTCTGAATGTGGACATCCTCTAAAACCTGATTTACTGTATACTTCTCATTGAGTTCCGCAACGGAGAGTCGCCAAGGCTTTCACCTGCGAACTTCTGCGCAGGCAGCTGTGCGCAGGCAGCTGTGCGCAGGCAGCTGTGCGCAGGCAGCTGAGTGTTGCAAAGCAATTCCCCGTCAGGACAACAGAGGGCAGAGCGCTCTTCTGTGGTATCCTGCCACCATAACACTCAAGTATCCAGTCCCCAATAGTGTATTTACTTATGTGTTCTTATGTGTATATGTCAGAGACTTTATAACATGGAAAAAATAGGGCTTGTGATCACACGTGATTACGCATAGCACTCTGGGATGTGAACGGACACATTGGAAGCTTGACGAGTGTAAACAAACCATGAAACAAACGGTACTATCACAGAGAAGAAGCTGATTTGGGTGAAAGAAAGTGTTAAACAACATTATGAAATCCCAGAAAGGATGCGGAATATACAGGGATATGTTAAATAAAGAGGTTGGGGACTGGTATGTGGACAAAATTAGTGTTCGAAATGGTTTTGATCCATATGAAAAACCCAAGACTGGAGCACCAATCACATATCCTGCTGCAGTTCTGCATAAAGGACATTTTCGTCTTTCTTGTTTATGTTGTGAGCAGATGTAAACGTCCTGATGATGGGTAAATGTTTTATTTGTTGGTTTTTCTAGTAAAAATCAAAATTGCCATCCCACAGAAGTGTAGGAGCAGACGTGTGGTGTGTGTCAGCACGCCCACATGTGTGTGTGTGTGTGTGTGTGTGTGTATTTTGTCTGCATGTCGCAGTTGAAGGAAAGAAACGAAGTATAAAAACGTACACCATCTGTAACTTACCCGAATGAAAATACTTCGGATTAGGGCTGCACGATATTAGGAAAACCTGCGATATTCGATAACAGTGCTTAATATTGCGATATCGATATTACTCACGATAAATGAACAAATACTAAAGTATGCAGTGTTGATGTCGTCTGGCGTGTGACGTCTGCTCTGGGTTCAAAGCAAACAAAAACTAATGCATGAATTCCATTACAACATAACATTTTTATTGCAAAAATATGCAGCTGCACCTGCTGCTGTATTAGCAGCTGCACCTGCTACTGTATTAGCAGCTGCACCCGCTACTGTATTAGCAGCTGCATCTGCTACTGTATTAGCACCTGCATCTGCTACTGTATTAGCACCTGCATCTGCTACTGTATTAGCACCTGCATCTGCTACTGTATTAGCAGCTGCATCTGCTACTGTATTAGCACCTGCATCTGCTACTGTATTAGCAGCTGCACCTGCTACTGTATTAGCAGCTGCACCCGCTACTGTATTAGCAGCTGCACCCGCTACTGTATTAGCAGCTGCACCCGCTACTGTATTAGCGGCTGCACCCGCTACTGTATTAGCGGCTGCACCCGCTACTGTATTAGCGGCTGCACCCGCTACTGTATTAGCAGCTGCACCCGCTACTGTATTAGCAGCTGCACCCGCTACTGTATTAGCGGCTGCACCCGCTACTGTATTAGCGGCTGCACCCGCTACTGTATTAGCAGCTACACCCGCTACTGTACTAGCAGCTGCACCCGCTACTGTATTAGCAGCTGCACCCGCTACTGTATTAGCAGCTGCACCTGCTACTGTATTAGCAGCTGCACCCGCTACTGTATTAGCGGCTGCACCCGCTACTGTATTAGCGGCTGCACCCGCTACTGTATTAGCAGCTACACCCGCTACTGTATTAGCACCTGCACCTGCTACTGTATTAGCAGCTGCACCTGCTACTGTATTAGCAGCTGCATCTGCTACTGTATTAGCAGCTGCATCTGCTACTGTATTAGCACCTGCACCCGCTACTGTATTAGCAGCTGCACCCGCTACTGTATTAGCAGCTGCACCCGCTACTGTATTAGCAGCTGCACCCGCTACTGTATTAGCGGCTGCACCCGCTACTGTATTAGCGGCTGCACCCGCTACTGTATTAGCAGCTACACCCGCTACTGTATTAGCAGCTACACCCGCTACTGTATTAGCAGCTGCACCCGCTACTGTATTAGCAGCTGCACCCGCTACTGTATTAGCGGCTGCACCCGCTACTGTATTAGCGGCTGCACCCGCTACTGTATTAGCAGCTACACCCGCTACTGTATTAGCAGCTACACCCGCTACTGTATTAGCAGCTGCACCTGCTACTGTATTAGCAGCTGCACCCGCTACTGTATTAGCAGCTGCACCTGCTACTGTATTAGCAGCTGCACCCGCTACTGTATTAGCAGCTGCACCTGCTACTGTATTAGCAGCTGCTACTGTATTAGCAGCTGCATCTGCTACTGTATTAGCAGCTGCACCTGCTACTGTATTAGCAGCTGCACCTGCTACTGTATTAGCAGCTGCTACTGTATTAGCAGCTGCATCTGCTACTGTATTAGCAGCTGCACCCGCTACTGTATTAGCAGCTGCACCTGCTACTGTATTAGCAGCTGCTACTGTATTAGCAGCTGCATCTGCTACTGTATTAGCAGCTGCACCTGCTACTGTATTAGCTGCTGCTACTGTATTAGCAGCTGCATCTGCTACTGTATTAGCAGCTGCACCTGCTACTGTATTAGCAGCTGCACCTGCTACTGTATTAGCAGCTGCACCCACTACTGTATTAGCAGCTGCTACTGTATTAGCAGCTGCACCTGCTACTGTATTAGCAGCTGCACCCGCTACTGTATTAGCAGCTGCATCTGCTACTGCATTAGCAGCTGCACCTGCTACTGTATTAGCAGCTGCACCTGCTACTGTATTAGCAGCTGCACCTGCTACTGTATTAGCAGCTGCACCTGCTACTGTATTAGCAGCAGCACCTGCTACTGTATTAGCAGCTGTACCTGCTACTGTATTAGCAGCTGCACCTGCTACTGTATTAGCAGCTGCACCCGCTACTGTATTAGTAGCTGTACCTGCTACTGTATTAGCAGCTGCACCCGCTACTGTATTAGCAGCTGCATCTGCTACTGTATTAGCAGCTGCATCTGCTACTGTATTAGCAGCTGCATCTGCTACTGTATTAGCAGCTGCACCCGCTGCTGTATTAGCAGCTGCACCCGCTACTGTATTAGCAGCTGCACCCGCTACTGTATTAGCAGCTGCACCCGCTACTGTATTAGCAGCTGCATCTGCTACTGTATTAGCAGCTGCATCTGCTACTGTATTAGCAGTAAAACAACAAACTGCATGCATGCAGTTTCTCAGTGACTTTAAAACATCACCTCCACCATAAAACTTTTTCTGATGCTCCAAATACAGAAAAACATCCCTTACCAGGGTTTTCTGAATAAATAAAAAAATCTGAAAATAAGTTTAGGCTACAGCCCTCCCATCCCAGTCCCACCCTGCTAAAGAGGGCGTGGAAAAGTTCCCCCACACATCAAAGTGATTTTTCATTTATGAGCTTTTATAACCTTGTTAATCAGGATAGTTGATTTGCTGCTGCACATAAGCTGTCAGTCAGAAGCTCTGCTAGCCGCTTATCTTAAGAGGAGCTAGTTCAATTTGTTAGCTTGTTATCAGAATCATAGTTGCAGTTTCATCATCTGAGAAACTGCATCATCTTTTGCCTTGGCCCCCAAAATGTCTTGAAACGGCCCTGGGTGTGTGACTGAGTTGTGAAGGTGATCTGAATTGTATCAGATGTATAAATATTACATGTGTATAACTTATTGTTTTTACCGGTAAAAATGTGGAGTGGAGATAAATCTACCTACATTTTACTTTTCAACACTTTGTTTTGTTTTCTTGTTTTTATTGAACTATTTTCCTGTCCTGTCTGTCTCTCATCTTCCTGCATCTCCTCTTAATTCTCCAGAAAATCTGTTGCCTGGATTCTTACCTTTTCACCTCATCAGTTACTTTTGAGCAGATCAAAGGGATCTCCTGACCGCAAAGCGGAGTGCGCGTTTTCGATGCTGCGTGAGTGAGGTGACATCACCAC